CTGGACAGACCAATTGCTTTCTAACACAATGTAAATTGTCTAATACCGTTGTTATTTAAGAGTTTGCCATAGCTAACAGCTAACATAAAAACAATTACTTCTACACAAAGGCTATTTCCAGCCATTAGGTCCTTTGCGTACATTGTGAAGTTACAGGCCTCATGAGTAATTTGGCTACTATAAACCAGACACTTCGCCAATGACTGAAGCCACAAGAGATAGAGACTTTCCAATGTCTTTTGACATACGTCCACTGAATCACGTATTCAGGTGATCCAACACACCGGACTCACCAGTTTTACCAGAAGCTGCACAAAATCACCAGTACGATTTGCTCAACTTCAGCTTAAGAGATGAGCAGCGCCGAGTGTTGGCAGTTGTTCAGCGGTCAGATCTCATTGTGCAATCTGAGTTGCTGAATACGCGAAAGCCTGTAAACTAAAAGAGAATCAAGCATACAGAAATTAAGCAACTTATAATCCATCAGAAACTTTATATTCGAATCTAAATTAATGGAAATCTGGTCCTAAACACTTAATGCGGATGTCAATGTGGGCGGCCGTGAGAACGTCTTTGACTTCGGCAGGGAGAAGACATGCAGTGACAAGCGACCATTAACTAGTGAGATGTCGAGAAAATGAGGGTAACTCTCGTATTTGCTAAGCGATTTTATATCTGTCGTGATTTATGTTGTCCATTCGGTTTACCTGAGAGTATGAATGTGCCAAGAGACAGGATCTGCACGATCTCATCATACGTATCCATGAATCTTTAATGCTTCTTTTGGGTTTACTGGTGTTGTTTGCATATACATCAACATTTTAGTACAGAATCCTGTAACCAAAGACCACTTGCGAGGATGTAAACTGGATTCGTATGGCTGAGGACAAGGACTAGTGGCGAGCTCTTGTGAAGAGGGTAATGAACATTGGGTTCCATTATAGACGCATTATAAACTTCTAAAGAAGGTCATTCCCCCATGGACTTGTTTAGTTATGAGTTATACTGTGCCATCGCTGATTCTCAAGTATTAGGTAGCCTGTTTCATGAAATTAGAAAACGTTCTTCGTTTTGCTGCAGTTTGTCTTATATGGGATATTATTTAGGGCAGTGCCCAGTCACATGCTTCAGCTGTGTATCTGGTTAATGTGTAACCAAACGTAAAATTCAGATCACTGCATATTCTGGTAGGAAGCAAACACATCTCTATTTTTGTCATAAAGAAAAGTTCTAGTTCCACTTCAGAGGATTATGCAAAGCCGCTGACATTATCCCCAGTACTATTGAAATAATGTAAAAGATCCTATTTAAGGAAAAATATTACTGTCCTTCGCGAAAATAATGAATAATTCCATTTTGTTGGCTCTAAGATTTAAATTAATAATCCACTTAAATATCATAATTAATTGGAAGTAATCCTACATAAGCCATAAGAGAAGTAATACATTAATTTATTACAAAGTTATGCATTTGACTAATAATTATACGATAAAATCAGTCTACTCTCGCACAATTCATCTCTATAAAACGTCCTACTATTATTGTTATTTCTCTGCACGATGTGAGCCAAATGAACGCATAGAGGCCTGGTCATGTCTGTCTGTGCAGTGCGCTACCACAAAGCAATTGAAATTGTGTTTGACTGATAACGGTTTAAATTGCCTAAAGAAAACATTGCGAAAACACGATCAGTATTTTCATAATTAAAGTTTTCTAAGATAAATGACCTCATCTCATATTTGAGTAAAGTAAAGTTTTGTGAGATTTTATTCTACAATAAATGTATAAAATTTCACGCTTATGAAGAACAAAATAAACTATATAAATACAAATGGCCAGAACAATACATAGCAAAATTTAAATGTTCTGTTGTAATGAAATAGTGATTTTACATAAATTATTTCTTATTCTTCTAATACCCTTGTCTTTTCTATATAGATCATAGGGACCTCCTTTCGGAAGTTTCTGATCTGATTTTAGACATTTCCATGATGTAAATCTACGACATGGAACCGCCGGCTTTACTTTCCCTCCGAAGAAAGTTGTGCTACGGATTTTTCTTACCTTTAAAAATCTATCGGCCTCGGCCGGGTTTAAACCCGCAAACCTTGGGTTCAGTAGCAAGCATGATACCACTACACCACCGAGGGCGTCTTACATAACTTATTTACACAATTTTTACAGTTGTCTGAGAACGACATTGATAACAAAACTGACTCATCTTATAAATCATAATGAATGTTCTCAGCTTTTTCGTTGTTTCCAGTTCCATCTGATTTCGGACTACATTAAAATGCTTGATGTACAAGGGGTACAAAGTTTATCATATTTTAATTTCTGTATACTTCTCCAGTAGACCCTCGCCGTAGCCGCGCGGTCTGAGGCATCATGCTTCGGACCGGTGATACGGATGCGCGCTGGTTCAGAGTCTCGGGGAAAGAAATTTCTCATGAGATTTTCGACCGGTGTCAACCCAGCATCGTGAGGAAATTGGGGAGCTACAATGGGTAGCGTAATCTGGTCAGGAAAACTAGCAATGGCTGGGGGTTCGTCGTGCTGACCACACGTCACTCTGTATCTGGTTGGATGATCGTTCACCTCTGCTGAGGCATGTGAACGTGAGGCCAGCAGCCAGCTAGTCGGCTTTGGCTCTCAGAGAGCTCTTACGCCACGGATTATTATTTTTATACTTCTCCAGTGATGATACTTTGTAGGAAGAAAACACCACGAAGCACACGTCTCCTCCCTTTCCCTTCTGCAAACTAACAGTTGAATCTGGAGCCATTTCTAGAAATAAAATTTGATGTTCATCGCAAAACGGAACTGTGAAGTTTTCTTTCCACATTCACAGTCCGTTTTGTTAACATCTGATTGAGATTGTAAACATCCTTAAATTCAACAATTACAGTGAAAGAATGTTTCATTCTGCTTCTTTTTTAAGCTCTGACCACTGCCCAGGAGTGTACACGACCTGAGTTTTTCTTTTCACTTTCCCAGTTACACCAAAATCGTCATCATGAAGAAGCAACGTATATCCCAGCAAAACGAAATTGTGCTCTATATCCTCAAATGACACAGAATCAATCGTTCATAACCACAGCCCTGTGAGAGTAAAATTCTTATTTTGTTCAATACAGGGGTCACTGTGCATAATCAGCTTCGTTTATTCTTCAAAAAACAACATAGTTTTACTCACCTAAGCAAGTTTTCAAGCGTGTGCTTGATATTCTATGAACGGTGCAAAATTATGTTTTACACAGCTGTACTTTATAATCACTTTCCAAAACTTAAACGAAATATTTGAACGTGTTCTTTCGTTGAGAAAAATCAGGAAGCACTCTAGCTTTCTTGTAGGACTTCATGCAATTGTTGCCTTTAATAAGGCCAAATAAATATTCTGTAACTTATAACTTGTTAACTTACAGAAGTCACAAAAATAGTTTCTTTCTTTTCCTGTGAAAAAGTGGTGTACAAACAATACATGGTGTGACTACATTTTTTACATTTTCTCCAGCTTTTTAGAAGGATTAGCTTTCCACTTCTTGACATATACTCTTTTCCAATATTATCATCATTATCATCATCATTATCATCGTCATCATCATCAGAAAAACTTTAAGATTATAAACTTAATACGTTCCGAATCTGTTAAAGACGTGGAAATATTTATTTACTCTAAACTTGATTCTACTACGCGTTTTCATACAGTATTAAGTTGTTGGGTTTTGTTCGCACTTTAACCTTTTCATTCTCTTCCCTTGATTGCCTGTATATGTTCCATTTTACTTGAGGTAGATCAAAGCTTACGTACGCCTCAGTCGTTCGGAATTCTATTACAACTACTGATGCTAACAAACTGAAAAGTATCCAGGCGAAGTTTACAGTCCTTTGCTATAGTCATTTCCTCCCTCTTGTGAATTACAACTATGGCAACGCTTTACATATTTAAAACTCCAAACCTTACATAAGAAGAGGTATTGCGTTGATGCACTGTTCTTTAACTAAGTTTAGAGTGGTTGGAATTACTGCCTTTTCCTTCTGGAAGCTGTCGGTCTCCGTTTTCCTCCTCGGAATATGAAAGACTTTCCTAAGTTTAATTACAACCCTTCAATTAAAAACTGTCCTTCTGATAGATGCGCATCAGCTGCTTCTGTTGTCTGCAGAATTTTCGATATATTTTTAACAAAAATTGTTTCCCTTAATCACATTATATAATAACTATGTTTCTGTTCATACATTAGATATTAATTCTCTCCTCCATTACTCACCATTGACTAACCGTGTGTTATCATTCTAACTCGTATATAAATTATCTGATTAGCGTAAATTTTAATGACGATTAGTCTCATTAAATAATTTTAGTTCTGAGTAATTCGATCTCTAAACAACGAAATAAAACAAATTTAGAGCCTATGTATACTAATGTCGATGCTGCTGGGAAACAATATAAAAACATAATATATTGCTTCAATCAGCTATATTCATAAATGCTGCACACGAAGAAGTAAATCTAGAATTTTGCAAAGCCTTTCTGCTATTTTTAAATACCATTTTTATTCATGTCTTTAATAAACTTTGTAACTGTATTGTAATCACAGTAACAATTTGAACGATAAATTCTTATTTACCCTAAAACTAAATGAGACCGAGTCAAAAATGTGTATTCATAAGGCCACGGGATATTTTTGCTTCATAGCCGTTGCATCATACCAAAAAATATATAAACAATTTATAGAATAAAACAACAGCGCAACAATTTTGGTGAATTCACTCTGTTATGTGAATTATAATTTTTAGATTTTCTTATACTCATAATAAAACCGATGAAGCGAACGAGCATGGACCATTAGTAACGACTGTAATAAAATCAGTGCAACGATTATCGACTTGCCAGATGACAAAACATAACAATCCGTTTTGTTTAATTTTCTCGAAAATTAAACAAAAGCTGTGAAAAATGTTATTAAATAACAAATGTTTGTTTAAACTTTCTACAAAAATTTGTTTGGAATATTTTTCGCTCAATATGCTCGCACAGACTCGTGTGCTTCTTAATTTTAAAGTTTTGGTTATTGTTTTCTAATTTTAACCAAAATTAGAATGCCTAAAATATTTAAAGACGCTACTCATTAACAAATTCAATGATGTTTTTGGAACTTCGTTGCGAACGCGCCTATAATAACCCCTTGAGATGTTAATTATTTTTGAGGGTAATGTGAAAAAATATAAGAGATAAAGAAGCTGGTCCAAAGACGGAGGATAAAACAACTTCGCACAAGGCTTTGAAGAAATGTCGTGTATGATAAAAGACAGCGCTATTTAAAATTAAATTTTTTTTCTTAATTGAAGGTTAAGCCCTGAAACACCGCATAAAGCAGCAGTTTTCAAACTTTCTGATTCCAAGAACAACTTTTCCGATAGACCAGAAGCGACATCCT